AGCTCTGCGACGATATCCTCTAACTAAACAATCTAATGTATCTTTTGCATTACGTACTTCAATTTCGGTTAATCCAGGAATTACAATTCTTTTTTGTTGATCTTCTCTGATATCAACTATACTTTGATCTCTATTTGATTTTGATAAAAGATCAAATAATTGTTCTTGATATAATTCCATAAATGATACCTGTAGAACATGAGAAAATACTTTACTGAAGAAATGACTTACTGTTATTATTATGTTTACAATTTCATAAACTATTATGATTTCTAAAAGCAAATTATATTAAATAGCAATCCTAAGGAGTATACTCCTAAGGAGTGCAGAACAATTATATTCAACCAAACATATAGAAGTACAAACACAATGCAAAGATTTTGAAAATCTGACATGTTTAATTTCTGACCATTTATGGGTATTCAAATAAACTCTAATTACAGTGTAAAAAGGTTATGGCTTTTAAATTTTAATTCTCATTTAAACCTCATATGCTCCTTAACAATACACTTTAAATTTATTGCTTTAATATTTGGAAAGTAGTTTATATTGATCTAACTTGTAATTGAAAATTATATTGCTCCGTCAGAGTTGAAATTTTTTGAAAAATGTCTTTTACTGCTCTTGGTATAACACCCATCTCCTCGACTGGTCCAACTGAATAAGCCATGCCCATGGAATGAGTTTTTCCGGAGCCAGTCTGACCATAAGCTAATATTGTCACATTGTAGCCTAAAATATATTTTTAGCGATTACTGTAACTTGCCCTACGGGAAGTAAATTAAGATTTTTAAAAGATTCAATTTTTTTTCTAAACTTTGAAAAATTAGTATGTAAGTATTGAAATGTTTGAAAAAAAAAGACTTTTTGAAAAAAAAATTTTGTTTTGTTTTGAAATATTTTGTAAATTTTGAACTTTTTTTTAAAACAATTACGCTGCGTTGGATGCGAAGGGAGAAAGTATCGATTACAGTCTAACTGATAAACCTTGGTACGGTACCCATAGAAATGTAACCAAATTTGTTATTGTATTTAAAATATCTGATAGTTTGATGTGTTTATGAATAATGATTATTTGTGGCCGCCAACTGGCATTTTTTGTAATACTAAATCCTAAAACTAACGATTTTTCATTTCGTCAATGCAAATAATTTGTTTTTTGAATCATTCAAATCGGATACTCCGTTATCTCAAAAACAGAATTACCATTTTTGGCATTTTTTGCCCCGTATTTTCAAAACGGCAGGACATGCCGTTGCCAAAAACTAATCACCACGTCTCCTTATCAATAGAAGTCGAATGTTTTTTGAATCATTCAAATCCACATATATCCAGGTATGCCAAAATGTTCAGAAACTTTTGAAACGTAAAGATGTATCCGAACATAATTATCTAAATGTTGTCCACTTAACTGTCTATGATATTAAAACAATTTATTTTTATAATTTTATTATAATTTTTATAATAAAATGTGATTTACTAAACAACCATTGGGCTCGCCCGTAGGTCAGCGGTTAAGAGCGATGGGACTTGTTTCAGAGGTCCCGGGTTCGGTACCCACTTCGAGCAGTCGTGACCAGGCAGCAGTGACAACGATTTTCACTTGAAAATATAGATAGCAATATGTTTCCAAGTGAAAATAGCCCTTGTCCGGCATTGCTGCACCAATAAAATGTCAGCCCTATTAGATTAATTCTAATAACAAAATCATCAAATATGGATGGATTAACCACTGGGTTACCATCTAAAATAAATACGAAGTAAGAAGTTTTAGCCCAACAGCTCATAGGACGTAAGGTCTGATTGCTGTTCAAAAATATATATAAAAAAAAAATAAACAACCATTGATTTATCCCCACCAATAATTTCCTGTCTTACAGCTAAAACATTGTCGTAAAATTGTCAGTTTGGGTCAGTTCATCGCATATGTTCGCTCAATAAGTCTTCGCGTTTGAGATATATATATATATATATATATATATATATATATATCATAATCCATTTATACTTGTTTATCTATGATGTAATCCAACAAATATTTGACAGAAAGTACTAATGATGTGAATAACGAAATCAATGGTAGGTTTTACTATGTTTCATTATACAGTATACTCATTTATTAAATATTTCGAAACATAATAATAAGTTAATGTATTATTATATCCGTTTAATAACAGTTATTTGAATAGTCTCCTTTTAGTTGTCTTAATTTTCTAGTTTTCCAATCGATGTTCTGCTAATAAAACGAGTTTTAACTAGGAGAAAGTGGCATTTTGTCTGAAGGCAAGTTGCATGAACTTCACGATATGTGTAAATAATCGTCATAACATTAATTTCAAACTTTAATGATTTTTTAAGATATTGGTTAAAACCATGAGCTATATATATATATTAATGAAATCCTCAAAAAACTAACAATTGATTACGAAAAACGACCCCGCCGATCTTTACGAGAAACTAATTAGCACGATTTCCAACTGATATTTTTCAATTTTTTAAAATCGCTTCAGGATTGCTGAATTTCTGTCTAATTTAATCGTCTCTATGGGAAGGAAATAAAATAAAGAAGCAAAAATTATTAAGCTTTTTTTAAGAGTTTGATTGACATTCATTTAGTGCTGTTTATATAAATGTTTTATTCACATTTTTGTGATTATAAAAACTTATTTTTAAAACACATGCTTATTTACATATAACATTGTGAACCATTTCATTATGATGCTTGTCATATAGCTCTTGTGTTATCATACTAAAAGTATGTCGGCACTGGTTCCTCTTCTAAGTAGATAAATTTTTCAATATAACTTTTCTCCACTAAATCTATAAATCAAATCAAAAGTACAGTTATACTTTAGAAATTGAATCTAATACTAAATATTAAGTGTCATTTGAAGAAAAAAAAACTAAACAGATACTGAAATTAATGTTTTACCTATATGAATTTCTTTAAACCTATAAAAATGTAATTCTTATTTAAACCATTTTTGGTCGATTTGAAGAAGTTTTTTTTTAGTATGATTTAATTCAATAATTATTGATAAATTGCTCACCTGACAAGCATTTGAAACTAAACAATGAAATTCCATAGACCTGGATTTTGTTGAATCGGCGAACAGACATCAAAAGAACTTAACAAAAACAATACATTTAATAAAATAGATTTATTTTTATTAACTATTACATATATACAGTTTGATATCAAAATACTTAAAACTAATCAAAACCTAATCTTTCAAAAAGACCTTTAAAACCATTGCTTTGCACCTTTTATATGCATATATTATTTATAGTAAAAATTTCTAAGAATCAACTCAAGTTACATTTTAAAATTCTTAGCTGTATGTAAATTTTCTATACACTATTTTAACTATATATACATTTTTCGTAAAACGAGCCTTTGCGTTAAGAAAAAAATTAAATCTACAATAACAAGCAATACTAATTTAATATTATATTAATAACCTATAATAAACATTAAATAATTATTTTTAGAAATTTAAAATCAATGGAATGTATTAGATCAACAATTCATTTTTTGTTTCTAATTATTCCAATCTAAGAAGAAATTCATGAAATTACTTATAATTATTTCTCATTTAAATGTCGATTCTTCTATACTAAATTATTAAACATCTAATTCAGCCTTTTAAGTAATAATATGGCATTAAAACAGGTAATTATTAATCTTGAAAATATTGTCAGTATTATTACTCATTTCATATATGAAATGATATGTTTTTTCTTAAATATAAGGATATATCCTTATATTTAAGAAAAAACATATCACCTGCATTCACTAGTATCTGATTTGGTGTTATTACATATTTTTGCAGTTTTCTTTTGAGCACTTGCATTTCCTGTAACATTTCCTGTTGTTTCTTCGACAACCACACAATCTAGTTTGACATTCACCTTTACAGTTACATTGGATTTCATCATTTTTGTTACGTTTAACACCTGCTGACACTCGCTTATGCCTTGGCAGTTTCTGTATATGAGCAAAAAAAGGAATAATTGACCAAAAGGAAAGTTTTTCAAAAAAAACTTATAAACATGATTATATAATATCAAGTTGGCAACTAAATTAAGTGCGGAAGAAAATCAACATTTTTTTTATGAAACTAAATAACTTTATTCTGAAATGCATTGTCTATTTTTATCACTGATTTTTGTCATTTTTTAAGCTACTTCAAGCAAGCATAATCCCACTTCTAAAAACTTCTGGTTATTATTAACAAAAACTGAATCAAGAATAATCATTGAATTGTTTAGCATTAAAGGAGTTTTGTAAAGATCAAAACCAAAAGTAATAAAAAAAGGCAAGGTCAGCATTATATGGTCTAGTAATTTTTGTTGAGTGGCCAAAAATATGTGATGCCAATAATGGAATAAATCACCATTTCGTTTTGTGAATTTAGATCACTTTTGTAATCAATTTTTTATTCAGACAAGTTGGACGACCAGAGCGTTTTCATATTTGAGTGAAAAATCACCAGAACAAAATTTATCAAACCAATTTTTACACTGCCGTTTTTTTTGTCTGCTATCCAATAACAAAAAGTTTTTATATTTCAACTACGTGAGCAAACCTAAAAAATCAATTGATATCATCGGAGAGAGAAAACCACTGCCAACTAATTTGCTAATATATTAGAGAGTAATTGAAAATATTGATATTTATGTATATCTCATGCTTTAATTTTAATTTAATTTGGAGAAACAAGATGCACAAAGCTTTTGCTTTGTGTTCCCAGACTCTCATAAATCCAGTACGGTCATAAATTTTAAGCATTATTTAACCCAAATATTATTGTAAAAAAAAATCACTCATTTTAAATAATCAAAAGTAAAAATTTTCACTGATTAATATGATTTCACTCACCTTCACTAACCGGACTCGCTTATACATAGGCGTTAGTCTAAAATCAGGATCTTTTTTAGCGGAATCTGCATAAACTTCATCATCACTTTCTGATGAATTCATTGGCTCGAAATCCAGCTTAAGATGATCTGGATCTTTTTTTCATTTTCTTAGCCTTTTTTTCAGGTGTTCTACAATTCTTAATATCATTTCTGTTTCCATATGTCATTAATTCAGCCAATTCATGTCTATGTTGCTCACGTAGCTTATCCATTTCCTGTTGACATTGAGCAACTTTCGCCACTGCTTCTGTTAGCTGATTCTCCAGTTCAGTACCGCGCTCTAAGCAGATACAATGAAAATTATTTTAACTTTCCCATACTAACATTGTATCTTTTCACATATTTACATATTTTTGTTGCTATAAAAATATCAGATTAATATATTTGATTGTAATAATACCTTTATGGGCATCAACTGAACGCCTTGGGTCAGCAATCATATCAAATAAGTCTTTTGGAGCATATTTAGGTTCAGGTATTGGCATATTCACTTTTTGTGCAACTTGTGCCACTAATGTTCGCTTCCAAGCCAATTCCTTATTTAATTGTTGGAGCCCTGTTGTTAAAGCTGCCTGCTGAGATAAATGGTTATCTTGTTGATCTTGATTTTCTGTCAAAATTTTTAGAAATTTATAAAAATTATATATTTATATTTCAAATTTACTTTTCAAAATTTCCTATAACCTAAGTTGGATATATATGCAATATCTCAGAAACGGTGATACTAACAAAAAAATTAATAATAACAATTTCATAGAGAATTTTATAATAAATAAACTTATCTAACATAATTTTTTAAAAAAAATTATGGTTTCGGCGGAAAATGGGAAAAACTAGATTTTTGCACCTTTGACCTTGAATAAAAAAAATCGCAGATGTCGGATCGTTGGGGACTTTTGACATTTCATTTGTAATGGCCTATTTAACATCTGTACCAAATTTCAGCTCTATGCGAATTGTTCCTAACTGAAAACTTAATTTGACTGGGCTATAATCAATGCTAGTCCTTACCAAATTACATACAATGGCATTTGAAGTTATGAAATCAGTTCAATCGTTTTTGTGAAAACGTCAACAGAAGATCCAAAAAAACGCTAACATTACACACGCATAATTTTCGCACAAATGCTTTGTATGTATGGTTTCGAAGCGACAACCATGGTGAACTAAAATAATTTTCAATTCAAAAACCATTATTTTCATTCATCATTACTAGATCCAGTTTTAAATAACAAAAAAATAATACGTAAAGCTTTTTTCTTTTACTGACTATTACTTACTTATCGCTGATTTTTCGCTGTTGTATATGGATAGTGAATATTGCATGACTTCTACTGGATTGACTGTTCATTGCAGTTGCACCTACAGCTCTGCGACGATATCCTCTAACTAAACAATCTAATGTATCTTTTGCATTACGTACTTCAATTTCGGTTAATCCAGGAATTACAATTCTTTTTTGTTGATCTTCTCTGATATCAACTATACTTTGATCTCTATTTGATTTTGATAAAAGATCAAATAATTGTTCTTGATATAATTCCATAAATGATACCTGTAGAACATGAGAAAATACTTTACTGAAGAAATGACTTACTGTTATTATTATGTTTACAATTTCATAAACTATTATGATTTCTAAAAGCAAATTATATTAAATAGCAATCCATATACTCCTAAGGAGTGCAGAACAATTATATTCAACCAAACATATAGAAGTACAAACACAATGCAAAGATTTTGAAAATCTGACATGTTTAATTTCTGACCATTTATGGGTATTCAAATAAACTCTAATTACAGTGTAAAAAGGTTATGGCTTTTAAATTTTAATTCTCATTTAAACCTCATATGCTCCTTAACAATACACTTTAAATTTATTGCTTTAATATTTGGAAAGTAGTTTATATTGATCTAACTTGTAATTGAAAATTATATTGCTCCGTCAGAGTTGAAATTTTTTGAAAAATGTCTTTTACTGCTCTTGGTATAACACCCATCTCCTCGACTGGTCCAACTGAATAAGCCATGCCCATGGAATGAGTTTTTCCGGAGCCAGTCTGACCATAAGCTAATATTGTCACATTGTAGCCTAAAATATATTTTTAGATTGAACAAAATAATAAATAATAAAGTAAAGATACTGAAGATAAAAATAGAATTTGGGATTATAGATGAGAGATAAATTCACCTACACCAAAGTTATGTTATGTCAAAATTAAATTCTAGTAGAAATAAATTACCCTTAAACAATCCATCAACTAAACCCTTAACAGCAGTGTCATAAAATTCAGCTTGCGAAACTTCTGGTGGAAATACATGGTTGTAAGTAAAAGAAAGATTTTTTATTAAAACTTGAGGTTTATTTGGCACTGTTTCGAGGCATTTAACATATCCTTTAGAAATTTCGGATTTGACTAAAGGCCTTATCCTTAAAGCCACCTGTACACTAACAGCAGAATCAGCCATCTGAAATTTTTTCAAAAATCGTTTGAGCAGGTGTAGATCTTATATGAGATATTCTATTTTATTTATGAAGAAAATAATATAGTAAATAATATACTTCATCAATCCTACTTTAAAAAACGATAATAATTTTAGTAAAGTTTGACGAATTTTTAAAATTAAACTACTTGTCGTAATGCTGTAATATTACAGTAAGTTCTATAAGACCATGATTAAGACCAAAAAAAAGTTCCATGAAAATCGGCTTAAATTTTTTTTTCAACAGTTCATTAGGTTCAGTAGATTTTCACCTAAAATTAATCAGTACCATTCCCAACTAATATCTTTCGAACAGTTTTTGATTTTTCAAAATCGGTTCGGTAGGATGAGCTTAAATGTGGACGAAAATTTAACACTTTTTTTCAACAGTTAATTACAAGAAAACGGCTCGGTAGATTTTCACCTTAAATTAATCAGTACCATTCACAACTAATATTTTTCGAACAGTTTTTGATTTTTTAAAATCGGTTCGGTAGGATGAGCTTAAATGTGGACGAAAATTTAACACTTTTTTTCAACAGTTAATTACAAGAAAACGGCTCGGTAGATTTTCACCTAAAATTAATCAGTACCATTCCCAACTAATATCTTTCGAACAGTTTTTGATTTTTTAAAATCGGTTCGGTAGGATGAGCTTAAATATGGACGAAAAGTTTAACACTTTTTTTTAAATTGCAAAGAAACGGCTTGGCAGATCGTCGCACAAAACTGACAAACGATAGTCCTCACCGAAATACACTTTAAATTTCTGAAATCGGTTCAGGCGCTTTTGAGAAAACGTCGATCAAAAGCCTAATTTTGACAAATGTCAAAAAAACTATACCAATTTTTGCAAACTTTGACGAATTTTTAAAGCTAAACGAGTTGTCGTAGGGCCGTAATATTTTAGTATGACCTAGAAAACTATGGTATCTACCGTCAAAAAAAAAATCATAAAAATCGTCGATTTTTTTTTTTTTAAACGTTATCAAAAGAAAACGGCTCGGCCGATCTTTACCAAAAACTAATCAGCACGATTCCCAACCAATATCTATCGAATGGTTTTTGAATTTTCAGAATCGATTTAGAATTGCGGGCTAAAGCGTGGGCGAAAAATTTTTCACTTTTCTGCAATTTACAACGAAACGGCCCGGCCGATCACCGCACAAAACTCAGAGACGATAGTCCTCATCGAGGTACATCGAATGGCTTTTAAATTTTTAAAATCGGTCCAGTCATTTTTGAGAAAACATCGATTTACGGCAAAAAATCTGTTCACATACACACACACACACACACATACTTTTTCCAAATTTGGTCTCATTCGATTCAGAATGGCTTGAAACGTCGAGAAAACATAAAATTAGCGAATCGGATTTTTTGATGAAAACATAAACTTCTCCTTCGGGAAGTTAATAATATATTTTAATGAATATGCTTGCTATTTGTTATAAGAAGATTAGCTTACCTTAACCATAGCACTAAATTATATTATATATATATATATATATATATATATATATATATATATATATTTTGTAGAGTTTCGAACAAGAATCCAAAAATAATACAAAATAAAAAACAAGAAAAGTTTTTAAAAAAACAATTTCTTTATTTAATTATTTGTTTATTGTCGACGTTTCGGAACTAGGTACGTTCCATCTTCAGGACATCTGTCAAGAAACATGATCTTGATGAGATTTTAGCAAACAATATGTTTAGGAAAAGAAAATAGATTTTTCTTAAATAATGAATTAAATTGTAAAAAATATAATAATGTACAGAAATATGATAATATGTTCAAAATAAAAATGATAAAAATAAATGAGTGGATTATCAGAACAGGATATTAAACATAATAGAAAATTTTTTGAAAGTTATGGAAATTTTTTAAGAAAAGGTTAATGACAAAGTTGAATTAATTACCTGTATGTTTGAATATTTGTTAGCACTTTTTCACTAAACAAGCTTTTTTAACAAAAATGATTTTGTGAGTTAATTTTCCGCCGAATAATTAGATTTTGTAAATCAAAATTACTAAAAATTTGTCTTTTTTAAAATTATTATTTGAAAACACAAATAATATTGTTCTCTGGACGTTGTTCGATTGGCTTTCGAAAATTAACTAAATGAAACTGGTGTGCCCTTTGTAACACGTGTAAACACTTGAACGAGAGATGTGAGATTCGTTCAAGTGTTTACACGTGTTACAAAGGGCACACCAGTTTCATTTAGTTAATTTTCGAAAGCCAATCGAACAACGTCCAGAGAACAATATTATTTGTGTTTTCAAATAATAATTTTAAAAAAGACAAATTTTTTAGTAATTTTGATTTACAAAATCTAATTATTCGGCGGAAAATTAACTCACAAAATCATTTTTGTTAAAAAAGCTTGTTTAGTGAAAAAGTGCTAACAAATATTCAAACATACAGGTAATTAATTCAACTTTGTCATTAACCTTTTCTTAAAAAATTTCCATAACTTTCAAAAAATTTTCTATTATGTTTAATATCCTGTTCTGATAATCCACTCATTTATTTTTATCATTTTTATTTTGAACATATTATCATATTTCTGTACATTATTATATTTTTTACAATTTAATTCATTATTTAAGAAAAATCTATTTTCTTTTCCTAAACATATTGTTTGCTAAAATCTCATCAAGATCATGTTTCTTGACAGATGTCCTGAAGATGGAACGTACCTAGTTCCGAAACGTCGACAATAAACAAATAATTAAATAAAGAAATTGTTTTTTTAAAAACTTTTCTTGTTTTTTATTTTGTATTATTTTTGGATTCTTGTTCGAAACTCTACAAAATATACACAAATCCAAGACTCTACCATTCAATATATATATATATATATATATATATATATGTATATATATATATATATATATATATATATATATATATATATATATATATATATAGATATATAATAATTAAAGTTTTAGTTTACCTTGAAGTAGTCTTGGTAATTTGCTGTCACGATAACCTATGAAACCCGTACAGCCCTCGCCCAATCTTGATATGACATTACCCAGAGCTGACAATCCTTTATTAATTTTTACACTTTCTCGGAAGCGATTACCAGTTGCTTTTGTTTTATTTGCTCTTTCAGATCCTGCCAAGTCTACCAAATGTAACTTGCAACTTGTTAGACTATTTCTAGTAATAAAAAGGAAATATTTAGACATTTAAATGTGGAATAATCGACCTAGAGAGAAGCTGGTATCAAATTTTTTCAAACTTTGATGAATTTATTAAAATTAAACCTCATGTCGCAGGACCATAAAGATCCTGCCAAGTCTACCGAATGGAACTTGCAACTTGTTAGACTATTTCTAGTAATAAAAAGGAAATATTTAGACATTTAAATGTGGAATAATCGACCTAGAGAGAAGCTGGTATTAAATTTTTTCAAACTTTGATGAATTTATTAAAATTAAACCTCTTGTCGCAGGACCATAATATTTTATTATGTTCTTTAAAACTATGATCGCAAACGTCGCACAAAACTAATACCCCAGTGAAATTAAAGCTAAAATAGCCGTCAGTTAGGAACAATTCGCATAGAGCTGAAATTTGGTACAGATGTTAAATAGGCCATTACAAATGAAATGTCAAAAGTCCCCATCGATCCGACATCTGCGATTTTTTTATTCAAGGTCAAAGGTGCAAAAATCTAGTTTTTCCCATTTTCCGCCGAAACCATAATTTTTTTTTAAAAATTATGTTAGATAAGTTTATTTATTATAAAATTCTCTATTAAATTGCTATTATTATTTTTTTTGTTAGTATCACCGTTTCTGAGATATTGCCGTTTGAAAAGTTGAAAAATTCATATTCTTCATAATATGCAGCTTTTAAACGTCATCAAATGTGTAATATAAGTGAAAAAATAAGAGTTTGTTGGTTTCTGTTTAAATAGTATAAGTTTAATGAAATTTTTGAAGTATAAAACTATAGTGTCAGCCCCTAATTACCTTAGTTCTTGAGCAACACCCGCCAGCTATGTCATTTTCCTAGTGTAGGAGGGTCACATATACGACTGTTTTTGAAGCGAATAAACGAAATATTTAATTATATATGAATTCAGGGCGTATAATGACAATCCAAAATCATAATATTTAATAAATTTTCATCATAATATTGAATAAATGTGCCGATATCCAGTGTCAATATATGAGATGGAAGATGAACTGTCGTTAACCTCTTACATTTTTGTATCATTATATGATTCAATATGCTATTACCAAATGAATAAATCTGTATAAGATGGTTTAATCTAAAATGTCAATAAAAAACGTTAATTCCAATTGCAATCTTGATATAAGGTACAAAACACGAACAACAGCCGGACAGTAGTGGAATATAATTCTACATATTATCTCAAAACTATCCAATTTGAATTGTCGTTTTTTAATTTTTTTTTTTTTTTATTTATTTCTTATAACCAATCTGAACCTTGGGTTCAATGAGGTTATTTGCTAACGGGTACAGGGTTTTTAGAAATTCCCCCAGTGGGGAATTTCCTTACATAAATATATTGATAGTTAATTCATTAAATCTTGCGGCCACTTTCTTTTTAATCTTCTCGTTGGTACTTGTTTCAGTAGATCTATTATTAGAGTGTTTGGATGGTATGCGCTCTTTTGATGATATTTCGTACTTCTCTCCTTGATAACTTCCTGAATATATTTGATGTTTAGGTCTCGATGAATTGTTTCATTGGAGACATACCAGGGCCCGTTCACTATAGCTCGTAATATTTTTGACTGTACTCTTTGTATTGTTTTTACATTGGACGTGCTCGCACATGCCCATAGCTCAATACCGTACGTCCATATTGGTACAATTACGGCTTTATATATTAGAATCTTGTTCTCATATGACATCTTGGATCTTCTTCCAATTAACCAGTAAAGTTCGCAAAATTTCTTGTCTATTTGCTTACGCTTTGTCTTGATGTGG